TCTTCTGCCTCAGCCTCCAGAGTGCTAGGATTACAGGCGTGCGCCACCAAGCCCAGCCTGTAAGTTATTTTCGTATCTGTTAGGATACAGGAAAACAACCGCCTTTTCCTAAATTTACACACAGTAAACTACACAATACTCAGTCCCACTTATACTGTTTGCCCAGGACTCTGGACAATGTAAGTGCTGTTCAATTCAACGAATAAGAGTTAAATGCCAGCACTGTGCTAAATACTAACAGGGTCCTAGAGATGATTAAAAGAGACTTAGCTGGTGTGGTGACACATGCCTGTATTCACAGTACTCTGGGAAGCTGAGGCAGGAAGATAACAAGTTCAAGCCCAGAGGGAGACTGTCTCAAAATAAAATTAAAGGAGGAAAGGAGTGTCTGAGGATGTAGCTCAGGGCCAAAGCACTGGGTTCAATCCCCAGTGTAGCCTGCACCACACTGTGAGACTCTGTCTCAAAAAAAAAAAAAAAAAAAGACAAAACAAAAGACTATGAAGAACCATTACCTCCAAAGAACCGCTGTTTAAACCACAGTACCACTCTCGCCAGTGCCCGCGGCTCCCCGGAGACTTGGCCAGCACTACCACTGCGTTGTCCGCAGAAATGCTAATCTCGGGCTCTTTGGTACTCAACTTATTCTCTGCAGCAAACTGCAAGAGCAAGGAATAAGCTAAGTCTTGTGCGGAAAAGCTCAACTTGTACCGGAAGGGGCTCAGATCCCCTTGAAGGCTCTGCGGCTGAACCCCGGGCACTTGAACTAGCAGGGTCAGGGAGTCTTCGTCCTGCCTGCACTGCAGAGGAGGACACACAGGTTCCCCGCCGTCGGCCGCGGGGCCTCCCATGGCTGGGTCCGAGCGGTCGCCGCCCGCGCCCTGCGGTTCTCCGCGGGGCTCTCCGCACGCGCCCCCGCTTCCTGCCGGAGACGCCCCACCGGCGCCCCGGGACGAAGCACAAGGGAAGCCTCCACCTGCGTCCCCAGGCGAGCTTCCAGCTCCAGGAGCCGGCTTCTCCTTTTGGTTGGACTCGCCCGCGACCCGCTCCACGGACTCAGGGACCAGCTCGTCCAGGGCGCCACTAGCCGTGCTTCTTACGTCACTTCCGGGCGCGCCCACGGCCCGCTCCTCGGACTCCCAGGCCAGCTCGTCCGGGGCGCCACTAGCCGTGCTTCTTACGTCACTTCCGGGCGTTCCTGCGGCCTCTTCCGGCGTCCAGGCGGCTTCTTCCGGCGCCAAGCGGGGTTCCCGGCGAGTGGCCGATTGTGCTACCGGTAGCGTGACCACCAGCTGCCTCCGCGCTTTGTTGAACTGCGCCTTGCCACGGCTGTCGTCCACCGGGTACGGAAGTGAGAGCCGCAGCCGGTAGTCGGGTTTCCTCGAGTCGAGGCACAGCAGCTTCCCCGACACCTCCAGTACCGCCTGCCCCGCCGAGCGCAGCAGCGGCAGCTCGATGGTGACCACCAGCTCGCGCGGCACGGGGCTGGGCGCCGAGTCCCGGGAGCAGCGGTAATCCTGGAGGTCCACGTGGTGGCGCTGCACCACGCTGCAGCGAGGCTCGGTGGGCGCGGGCTGCGGCGCCGCCTCGGGAGGGGAGGGCGCCGGGGGGCGCGGGCCCGCCGGGCTCTCTGCGGCCGCAGGGTGCGGGTAGGGGTAGGGGAAGTCGGGGATCGGGCCCTCCGAAGCCCCCTCGGGCCGGCCCCCGCCGCCCCCCGGCAGTGGAGTGCGCAGCACGGCGGCCTCCGGGGTGCCCTTGTACTTGATCTTCAGCGTCTTGGCGTTCCTGCGGTCCAGCTGGACGCGGAACTGCTGCTCCACCGCCTCCAGGGCCGTGGCGTCCAGCATCTGACGGAAGCGTGCGCGGCGCCCGGCCAGCGCGAGTGCATCGGGGTGGAAGACCACGTCGTAGACGGTGTAGCGGGAGCCGCCGCGTCCCGCGTACTGGCGGCCGGGCGCCAGGCTGTAGGGTAGGGACCAGTGGCTGCCCGGCGCCGGCCCGGGCCGGCTAGTGGGCGCGCCCAGCAGCGCATTGCTACACACGTTCACGTAGCAGCGCCCAGCACCGTCCAGGCTGGTGCGCAGCACGTAGCCGGGCTCCGGGTGCACGAACCGCACTTCCATCCCGCGCTCGCGCTCCAGCGCGGTGATCTCCGCCTCGTAGCGCCTCCGGTTCTCCGGGTCCGTGATCTCCTGCGCGTACTCGGAGAACATGCGCCGAAACTCTGGGTCCTGGAAAGCAGAGGTGAGCCGCCGGACCTCCTCGCTGCTCAGGTCCAGCTCCTCCAGCGGCGAGGAATCAGCTGCTTTGGCCATGCTGCCCGGTGATTCCTTGCCCTCGCCCCAGGGCTGATGAGCAGAAGCCTGTACAGGTAGATCGCGCCGCCCAATCGCCAAATCTCCCGTTAGCGCTGACAAACCGGCCAGGGTCGATAACGGCTGGGAGATTGAGCCCTGGGCAGCGCGTTCTTGTTGCCATAGGAACACCACCCACACTAGGAGGAGGGGCAGCAGCTGGGTGGATACGCTAGAAATAGCTTCATCGTTTCTTCAACCATCCAACCTGCTGCGTTCTTTAGATTTCTATTTAAGTGTCATAATTTTTTAGATTTCTATTTAAGCCGGGCGTGGTGGCACACGCCTGTAATCCCAGCACTCGGGAGGCTGAGGCAGGAGGATCATTGCAAGTTCGAGGCCAGCCTGGGCTACAAAGTGAGCTCAAGGCCAGCCTGAACTGCATAGCGAGACCCTGTCTCAAAAAATAAAAAAATTTTAAAAATAGATTTCTATTTAAGTGTTATAATTTACAGCATTTTGTACATTGTCTTATTTATTGTTCATAACACTGTAAGATAAACATCCCCACCTCATAGGCAAGATGGGGACCTAAGAAGTTTCCAGGGTTCCATCGTCCGTGTATTCACAAGCTGTGATTCAAAACCTAACTGTTTCTGCCTGTTTTCATTTTGCTAAACCAACAGTTTAGTCTTCAGTTTTCCTCCTTTTCATTTTTTTGATGTTCTGACATTTTACTCCGTTAAAACTCATTTGGGACTAAAAGTTATGGGCAGGCTAACCGAAAGCACATACCACCTGCCAATAAATATATAAAAACTTCAGCTTGGAAAATAAAAATGCAAATATAAGATACCATATAGCACCTATCAAAATGGCAAAGGCTTGTTTACAATTATTGTGTCATGATGGGAATAGAATTTATAATACGCATATTTTTAACCCAGATACACAGAATATCTGATCCAGCACTAAGAGCATGATTTTAAAAGTTTGGGGAGAATCTTAAGAGTTCAACAAGTAACTGGTTTTGTGTGTGGTGCCAGGGATTGAATCCAGTGCCTCACTCCTGTACCTGTGCCCTATTAATGGGCCATACCCCGGCCCCAAAGTAAATTTACTGATGGGTATTTATTAATTGGTAGCTGGTCAATTTCATTATCATTTTCCTATTCTCAAAAGACACAGCTCAACTGATGACGTGGCAGTAGCTCAGTGACCAGACCTTTCAGGGTTTCTCTCCTACCTCATCATACTTTCATGGTTCTTCTGCAGGTGTCTTCCCTTCAGTTTCTAGCAGAAATGTTCCAAGGCTGGGGCTCCATCTCTTCTTCATCTCTAATGTCCTTCACAAATACATGCGTACCCACAAACATCAAATTTGTATTGCAGGATCCAAACTCTGGGTTTCTGTATCCAGCTGTCAATTTGAAGTTTCCATTGATGCTTCAGCCTGTGTGGTTGGTTTGTTTGTGTGGTCTCACTATGTAGTAACAGCTGGCCTTGAACTCACTGTGGAGCCCAGGCTGGCCTCAAACGTGCCCCAATCCTGCCTCAGTTTCCTGAGTGCTGCAATTGCAGGTGTGTACCACCCACACCTGGCCTCTCAACATTTTTCTCCTCTCAAAACTGATCAATTCCTGATTCTTCTCCTTTCCCAGCGGAAAGCAATGACCTCTTGGTGTCCTTCAAAGCAAATGACTACCCCATTTGGAACACATTTTTCTCTTGGTTTACAGAACTCTAACCTTCCCAAATATTCCTTCTGTTTCTTGATCCTCTTCATTTTTTAAATGAGGGAGTCACTCAAGACACCCAGTCCTCTTATCTAGTATCTAATATTTCTTCTAAAATGATTTTATCCAAGTACATAGCATGTATATTCAGATTAGTCCTTCCAACAGACGTGTCACACATGTATTGAAAATGTGTACGTGTGTGTATATATATATATATATGTGGGTATAGGTACCAGAACAAAACAAAGTCATGCTCCAAGGATGTGAAGCAGCCTGTACTCTCATGTACTGGAAGAATATATTGGAACAAGCACTTTGGAAAATTGTAGTTGAGTTGGGTGTGGTGGCGCATGCCTATAATCCCAGCTTCCCAATTTGGGAGGCTGAGGCAGGAGGATCACTGCAAGTTCAAGGCCAGCCTGGGCTACAAAGTGAGTTCAAGGCCAGACTGAACTGTATAGGGAAATCCTGTCTCAGAAAAAAAAAAAAAAAACTGCAATTGAACATAATACATATCTTACGAGTAAGAAATGTTGAGATCAAGTTCAACAGAAACACATCCACACAAGGTATGTGCCAGAGTGTGTATATTCAAAACAACACTGGGAACTACCTCATGATCCTCAAACACTGGAAACTACCCCAGTCCTCATTCACTATCAGATGGACAAATGTGTATGTACCACACAGTGGACTGCTGTACAGCCAACGGGATGGGTGAATTTCACTAAAGTAAAAGAAGCCAGATGCAAAGTAATACATGTGGTTTGACTCCATTATGACAAAACTTGGTTAAAGAAATCACTGTTAGAAGTTGGGAGATAAAACTAATTTTCCATCGAAAATAATCAAACCTAAAAAAGTTTTAATAAAACTTCAAAGACAAAAATGTCAGACTAGTGATTGCGTCGGGGTGGGGGTTGGAAGGGAACGAGAGAGCTGCTGTGGGGCTCTTCCTCAATCCTGGGGCGCGCTGGGTGTGCGGCTTGTGACGTGATGGAGCTGTGCACTGACTTCGTGCATCTTGTCTTTCGGGCACCGTCGGGCACACGCGGGGTGGGGTCAGTGACTCCAGACTTCTGCCTCCCGGCCCACCTAAGCGCTGAGCACCAAGCACACTGCTGCCTGCTAGGTTTCTCCACCCAGACATCTGACAGGCATTTCCGCATGTTTAGAACAGGTGAACTCAATTGTTTTTCACAAACCTCTTACTCTGCAGTCTCGTGAACACTACCTACTGGGTGCTGAAGCCTCAAACCCAAATGTGATCTTTGATGCCTCGACCTCCTCGTGCGATTCCAGTCAGTCACCACGTCCTACCGACTCACTCTGCCCCCAGATTAATCTGCCCATTTTGGGTCTGAGCCACCACCGGCTGGGCTGCACGCTTCTGCAGTAGCTTCTTGACTAGTCTCTTCAGCTCTTCGTTTTTTTGTTTTGTATCCCCCAGTGCTGGGGATCGAGCCCAGAGTCGCACACAAGGCAGGCAAAGGCCCTACCCTGGAGTCACACCCCCAGTCCCGGGGGCGCTTCCCTGCTTACAGTCTACACAGTTGGCTCAGTGATACTGAAAAAAGCAGTTTGTATCACTCCCTGCTGAAAACCTTCCAGCAGCTGCATAACCGTATTTTCTTTGTACTTGAGCCCTGGCCCTCTTGACTTACGGTGTAATCATCTCTCCCTGGTTTGGATAATTGTGGACCCTCTGGATTCCCATGCTGCCCGGGCCCTGGAATCTCAGGAACTTACACATCACCTTAGGGACTCACGGCATGCCTCTCCCACCTCCAACATCCCGTGTAAAATTGCGCACATTGTTTTTATTTTCACCATATTTGGCTTTTTTCTTGTTTTAGGGCAGGGCTGTCTGAAGGTAAGTATCATGAGATGCAGGGCCTGCTTTTGTGATACACCGCTAGACTCCCCAGGACCTAGTACATGTTGTGTTCATCTCATGAATGAGTATAGCACTGGAAAGAAAAGGAAGTTTAAGATGTATACTCCTACAGTATTTCTGTAGGAAAACAGTGTGGCCAGAGAACTGAGAAGATATATTCTAAAATGTTAACATTACTTTTAATGGTAGAATTACAGGTCAGTAAGACTTTTGTGCTTCATTGTACTTTCTAGTATTTTTACTGTGAATTTTTCAATAGAGACTTTAAATGTCATGTAGGTTTTAAAAGTTTACTTCTGCAACAGTTTTGAGGCATAAAGGTAAATCCTGGCAGGTCTTTAAAACACAAGTGCATCTGAAATCGAATTCCTTTCTATTAGAACTTTAATGTCAGAGAAATACTCCCAGTAGTAGCAGTCAATTATTTTAAGTCACCTTTGTAGCGTCAAGTCTTTGAACAAGTTTAACCTTCAAAAAGATGTTCTGGCCACCTGTAGTAGCACAAACTTGTAATCCCGGCCTTCTGAGAGGCTAAACCAGGAGGTTCCAAGTCTGAACCTAGTCTGGGCAATTTAGCAAGACCTCACCTCAGGATTTAAAAAAAAATTTTAAAGGGCTAGGGATGTAGATCGGTGCAAAGGTTCTGGGTTGAATTCCCAGTACCACCAGCCCTGAAAAGAATTCCAAACATACGCCCAGAACTACTCCATGACAACAAACCACTGATGGCTGTTTGGAAATGATAATGACCTTCAGTTCCTGAGTCCTCTGAAGGTTTATGCGACACTGCATGTAGGGGCAGGCTTGTGGGTGTGTGTTGGTGCTGGGGCTCCTGAATAAAAGGCCCATGGTTTTTGCTAGATTTCTCCAAATCCCGTTCTAACATCAGGAAAGTTCTAACATACTCAAATTTTCCATCCTCAAACCACATCTCTAACTTCCATTTCTTCCTTGCTGCTAACTTCACTTATCACTATGGTCATATTAAATTTCCTTCAGGAATCTTCCCTTCACTGTCACTTTTATTAATTCCTCTTCCCCCTCCAAAGCTAATTAATTCTCTTGGAAAGAAATGTCTTCCAGTTCAGGATTTAAAATTTATAACCATACTGTTAACAGCTTCCTGTTCAGATTCATTTCTCAACAGCCGTTTAACCAACTCCTTAAACTAAAATTAAAGGGAGGGAAATACTCAAGTGAGCATGCCGCACAACATGCTCCTCTGGTTTGAAAACACTGGAAACTTAATCCCCAGTGCAACAGTGTCGTGAGGGCCAGTGACAGTGATCAGGCCACCCCTTTTGTTTTTGATGCGGGCCCCTCTCTCGGACTTCTGACCCTCAGAACCAATACATTCTCTTCATTGTAAATTACCCAAACTCTGGCATTCTGTTGTAGCAGCTGGACAGACAAAGACAAATGCCAAGGGGTTGGGGATTTAGCTCAGGAGCACAGGCAAGTGCAACGTAGTGAGTTCAATTCCCGGTACCGGGGGAAAAAAAAAAGATAAATGCCGATCAAAATAAATACAAATCTGGGTTAAGTGCGCAGCCCTCGCCTAGCTTGCCGGAGACCTTGTCTCATTCCCAGCACGTGAACACCACCACAAGAAGCCATTGTGTCTTCCAAGTGCAAAAATTATGATGAAGTTTCCAGTGTCAAAATGCAATTATGTAGCCTCTAGGATAAGGTATGAAGCCTGAAATAAAGGTATTCAAAGTTGTTCACTCTGTGAACTTTGAAAATTGCGTAACATTCTTAGGGTTCTCATTTCAATAATAACGTAAGTTGGACTAAAACAGTAAGCCACAGACTTCTAAATACTTGTGGTTTTCTTAAAATGAACATTAGAGTATGACTAATATAAAAATAAACTTCATTCGTTAAATGCAAATGTGTAGAGTATATCTTTACACATGGCTGCCTATTTTTAAATACTACAGAATATTTTTCCTATCAAACTTTATAAAGAATAGCATCGTATTTATTAATAACTTCCTATGAAATTTAGACACTTAAGCAGAACACTAAAGCCTATTATAATTTTATTACAACAATATCAGAATTATATAAAGTAAAGAGAAAACATCAACTTTTTTCTTCAGATGGCCTTTAAGAATCAAAAGCCTTGAAGTTTGCTGAAAATAGAAAAAACAAAAGTAAATATTCTGGAAACCTAAACTACATTTTTTTTTCTGTCTTTTTGAGACAGGGTCTTGCTCTGCGGTTCAGACTGGACTTGAGCTCACTTTATAGCCCAGGCTGGTCTCGAACTCACAACGGTCCTCCTGCCTCAGCCTCCCAAGTGCTGGGATTACAGGCGTGCGCCACCATGCCCGGCCATTTCTTTTATATTTACTTGCAGCTAATTTTAAAAATAGGTCAATATATGTACACTGTCTCAAATTTAAAAGGCAACACTAAAAAAATGTCTTGCACCCCACTTCTGCTGCCCAAAGCAGAATATCTTTATAGTCTAATCAAAAAAGGGAAAAGATCCTCTAATCATATCTAAGCATGCATATGCTTAATTTTTTAACTTTAAAAAGGACATAGTAGAATATGATGCATACTATCCTTTTTTCATTTTGTACATTATAATTTAAATCCTTTATGGCTTTGAAAGTTAAATTAGACATTTAGATAATGCACATATAAACTATTTCATTTGATATAAAAACTGCAATAAAAACCATACCTACTTTTCTGCATAAGCCCAGGTATACTTTCAGTATAAATTCTTAGAAATGGAATCACTGGTGTATACATTGTAGGTCTTAATAAATCTTGTCAAAGTGCTCTCTGTAAAGGTTTTTACCATTTTCATTTTCACCAACTGTGTGTGAAAATGTGTATTTCCCTACTACATCACCAATATCATGTTTTCAAATAAAACTATTTGAAAGTATCTGCCATAACCCATAAATATTTTTATATGTCATGTAGAAAAAAAAATAAGCACACATGTATAAAAAAGAAAGTACATTTGACGTGGCTGCTGGTACTTAGTTTGACTACATTCTGTGGTGGACACTGGTGTGGGTTCATAACTTGTCAACAAGTGGCTTCTTACGAGAAAGACCAGATTATTTCAACGTGTCTTGAAATTTTTTCTGTTCTCCAAAACTTACACATACTACCAATCTGTTTGATCCAGCACTAAAAAGCTTCTTCAAATTACTAATACTGAATTCTAGTTTTGAGATTATGTCTAGGTTTGTCAGCATCTGAGGCCAAAATAAAGGAACCAGCTCTGAGTTCAATAGATACTAGCATCGCTTGCAAGGCAAGTACTATGCTAGAAATTTAGGAGGGACCAGCACAGAAGAACTGCAATAGAAATCTGCATAAAGTGCACCGAATACAAACCAATTCTGCACAGCTATTATAAAAAACGTAATGCTGGCATGGTGGTGCGTATCTCTACTCCCACCACTCTTGGAGGCTGAGGCAGAAGGATTACAAGTACAAGCCCAGGCTGGGCATTTTAGTGGCTTAGTGAGATCCTGTTTCAAGATTTTTTTTTTTTTTCTGTCTCAAGATTTTTTTTGTTTTTTCTGTCTCAAGATTTTTTTAAAAAGGACTGGGGCTTTAGCTCAATGGGAAGGTCCGGGCTTCCAATTCACAGTGCGTACCATCACTACCAAGAAAGCAAAAATATTAAGTCAATTTCCAGGTGTGGTTTATTTCCCAACTCGATGGTTTGTTTGCTTTTTGAGACAAGATCTCATTATGTAGTCCAGGCTGGCCTTGAACTCCCTATGGAGCCCAAGCCAGCCTCAAATTCACAGCGCTTCTCCTGTCTCAGCCTCAGGGTACAGGTGTGTGCCACCACACCTGGCTTCCAAACTCATTTTAGACAAAAGAATATAAAATGCTTTGCAGAGATAGATGTAACAAAAAAATAAAAGTAAGCAGTCAAGGAAATTCAAGTAAAGGGAAAATACAGGTTGGAAAAAAAAAATGAAGGTTTAGTTCTCTGCAGCTGTAGAGATGGATGCCAACCTGGCCGTGCCTCTTTAGTAACTAAAGCAAAGGAAGGCCTAGATTTAGTCTTCCTAAAATAAAATTGAATTCCTCTTGTCCTAAGTGGGGAGAGTTCCCAGTAGTTTGCATAGCAGACCAGGTTTTGCATCTGTGTAAGTTTCATACCAAACCTCAGTTCAGTCAGCCAGTCAGCCGCTATGCTCCAGGCCACCCGGGACTTAGTCCTGGGCCCTGATGCCGGTGTGGTGGAGCAACCGAGAGGAGGCGACAGAGCCGGAGAAGAGCATGTGTCTTCACCTAAGAGCATTTCACCTTTTTTTCAAGGGTATCATGTGCACAGGGTCTAGTCAAAACTTTTAGACTTAAATTAGAAGTTAGAATAGCTGCAATTTTTTTTGTCCATATGGGGGATTGAATCCAGAATCCAGAGTTGTCCATATGGGGGATTGAATCTTAGAATCCAGAGTTCTGGGATTACAAGCTTGTGCCACCACAAATACCTGCCATCTTTATAAGAATTTGTTTATTTATATTGTAAGAAGTAAGCAGTACCTGGAATATACTTAGAGTCAAATCCCTGTATGAAGGTATCCCTGCTTTTAAGCAATACATGCCTATATAAGAAACTGAGAAATGGGGGTATTTTTCCTTTTTAATTTTATGTTGATTTTTTAATTTTGTTTGTTTTGTTTTGTTTTTTTAGACAAGGTCTTGCTATGTGATCTGAGCTGGCCTTAAACTCACTATGTAGCCTAGCCTGGGCTTGAATTGGTGCAGTCCTCCTGCCTCAGCCTCCAGAGATCTGTGATTACAGGGGTTTACCATGACACTTAATTTTATACTTTTAAACATTGTTTAAAATTTGTATTGTATGGTTTGACTTATATGTTTTGGTGTGCTTATTTAAAAAAAACACACACACATTACTGTCAGACACGGTGGTAACACTGCCTCTAACCAGAGCACTCTGGAAGGCTGACAAAGAAGGATCATGAGTTCAAGCCCAACCTGGGCAACTCAGTGAGAAGCAAGACCCTGTCTCAAAAATTTAAAAGGGGAGCGATACTTTGGGGGTATAGCTCAGTGCAGAGGCTCATGCATGAGTCTAAGGTAAACTGTTCAAAAATGAATGTTCCTGTAGGGCGTGGTGGTGCACACCTGTAGTCCCAGCACTCAGGAGGCTGAGGCAGGAGGATCACTGTGAGCTCAAGGCCAGTCAGGGCTACACAGTGAGTTCAAGGCCAGCCTGAATCAGAAAGTCCCTGTCTCAAAATATCTAAAAAGAAAATGCATGCTCCTGGGTTCTATGAGCAGTCCTTTGGTGAGTTTGGAGGAGGAGCCTGGAATTTCACATTTTTACCAAGGACCCCCAGAATACTTTGACGCAGTGATCCTGTAGATCACCTTGTGAAAACCACATTCTCCAGGTGACTGTTTATTTTCTTTGCCAAGATCTCCTTTCCACCTCAGCCCTCTCCAACTTTCCACTCACACCCAGCTCTGATGACTCCTCTGCTGCTGGTTTGAGACCAGCACCTGGGCTTTAAGAATGAACGCTGTGGATGGCAAGGCTGACCTCCCGGAAGAATGACAGCATCCTCGGGAGTCAGCCTGGCAGAGAACCAGCCCAGCTCCACAGCTGGCCTGAGATCTCACTCAGCAAACAGTTCTTGGTCAAGTTCAACACAAACACACCAGCAAGTATTTCCCATCCACGTCACACAGCACGGCCACAAGACGTTCCGCCCAGAACATTTCCAGTCAGCCACGACAGGCATTTTTTAAAAAATCTCAACTCACAACTATAGATCACGTGACTCAGACACCAAGAGAAAGCCCCTCGCGGTTTCTGTGTGCACACTCACCTGTCTTCTACTGTCTTGTTGGAAGGGTAAAACACTTTGAATGAAAATCCACTTCTTGGAAAAGAGCCCTTTTGGGAGAAAAATGCCCGTTAAATGACTTCTTGACTTTAATAAAATAACCTCTATATTTTAAATCAAAATCCTCAGTAATGACTTAAAAATTGCAAGATGTGACTATAAAATAATGCGACAGGTTTTAAAATGATCTTTTTTTAAATTTTTTTTTTTGTCTTTTTGAGACAGAGTCTTGCGATGCAGTTAAGGCTGGCCTTGAGCTCACTTTGTAGACCTGGTTGGTCTCAAACTCTAACGATCCTCCTGCTTCAGCCTCCCGAGTGCTGGGATTACAGGGGTGCGCCAGCACGCCCAGCCTCTCATTGCTTTTTTGAGGCTGAGTTTCACTGTGTAGTTCTTTATGGAGAGGAAGCTGTCACTATAAAATACCTGCACTTAAAGCAAAAGTCTTTCAAGTTGGCCAGATACTTTTATGCAAACAGATCTGATCAGAAATTCTTAAAAGTGGCTGTACTTACCATAAGAAATAAACTGTAATGTATAATGCTAAACTTGCATCTGAGAAACTCAAAACATCACCTTCGAGTCCTCCCTGCCTCTTCCTCCAAGAAAAATCTGGGCTTGATGCTGCTCCAGTACGCCCCCAAAGCAAATGAGCAGTAATCACACACAGTAATTGTCTACCTACTAGGAAACTCTCAGGTCACTGAGCAGAGGGTCTGTCTCTTCGGCCTCTGTATCCCCAGCCCCTAACTAGGGACTGGCCCATAGCAAGCATGCATTTACATGAGTACCAAGAAGGAATGAAGCTGTATCAAAAGCAAGCTTTGTGTTTGCCCAAAAGGTATAAAAGTTGCAGTGACAGCATACAAGGTGGTTGTTTACATACAGGATTAAAAACGTGGTAAAGTCCAAAAATAAGGCATATTCATTTTTTTTAAATTTGGGTTTTTGTTTGTTTGTTTTTGGTCCTTTTGAGACAAGGTCTAAAGTAATTTCAAAGTTCTACATAAAAATTTACTGCCCATCAACCAAGGAATGGATAAAAAATGATGTGGTCTTTTTATACAGTGGAGTACTACTCAGCCATAAAGAAGGATAACCTGGAGACTTTTATAGGTAAATGGATGCAACTCAAGACCACACTCGTAAGTGAAATAAATCAGACCCACATGTGTAAACATCATTTTATCTCCCTAGTGTGAGAAGCTGAAAGAGTACATAAGATCCAAAGTGTACAACAGATATTGTAAAATGGGAAGAAACTTCAAAGGCAAACAAACTGGGATGGGGGAATGGAGAAAGGAAGGGAAAATTCTTAAAAATTTAAAGTTATATAAAAAGTAATTAAGATAGTTATACTACTAATTTCTCTTAGTTCATTGAAAAGAAAGGTCTGTGCTAATATTATTTGGACAATTAAGTGCCAGTATCTTGTACTCTGAGAAATTAATTTAAAGATAACAATACACAATGCATTAACCATTGTTGCTCTCTTATTATCTTGTCTTGAAATTTTGTTTTACTTTTTTTTTTTTTAAAGTGTCCCAATGAAATTTCATTGATCAGGCTTGGGTTTTTGACATTTCAGAATTTTCAAAAGTCACAATCCTCTCAAAGGACAAGAAAAATTAATCCGGTTAAAGGGAATGGGACATAGGCTCTGGACGCAATTCCCAGAAAGGAATTTCACAGTAAGCTATTCGAAAGGAAAGATATACTCATTTGGATTTATGTTTTGGCTTGCCTGGCTTTTTTTTTAAAACTTTCACATGATGTTATAGTCACATCCTATACTGAAAATTTATGTTTAAGAGCTTTCTCTTAAACATATGCTAAATTAATTCCGTATTTTGTTACTAGTATGTTTTCACTTAAACACTTTCATCAAATAAATGTGCTGTACTCTTGATGTGCTGTGCTTTTGATCAACAGTGCCTATATAAGGTGAATCAGTCCTTACGGGGTTTATGCAGAGGCACTCGGTATTGGTCACAGTGAAAGGATCGTATTTGTCTGCAATAACAAGCAGGTCAGGCACAGGATATACCCTCAAAGCGTAGTCGTATGCCCAGTACACCGGGCAGACATAAAGAGGCAGCGGAGTCAGGTGGCCTTGGGAGAAGACAGTCTTTGCGAACTACAACAGAACACAAAACAAAGCCAACTTCAATTCACATGGAAAAGTAAGAACAGCCATATAATTTCAAAGTGAGCGTTAATCACCCTATGGACTGTACATTAAAGGATATTAGGGAAAAAATTACCAAAAAGATCTAAAAATTTTGAGAGATGAAGGGAAGTTTTAAAGCACAGAGCTTTGGAAAATAGTGACATAAAGTGAAATTAATTGTCCCGTGCTTTAGGAAGAAAACTTTGTGAGTTTTCATTTAATGCCATATACCATAACAGTGACTCTCCCAAATAAGCATATTGGAGTGACTACACTTATAGCTATATAATAAACATGTGTGTGTATTACTGAGGATTAAACCTAGGAATTTCTCAAGCTACAGCCCAGCCCATTTTCATTTTGAGCCAAGGTCTCACTGAGTGGCCATGGCTGGGCTCAGACTTGAATCCCCCACCTTGGCCCTCCAGAGTGGCACCACACCTATCTTATAATAAACTCATTTACTAACTTTGTTCATCAAAAAATAATTCCCCAGCTTAAGTAAAGCCAAGAATCAATATTTAGCATACATAAATTTACAATATTTTAAAATGAACAACAATAATGTTCTGGAGGACCCACTTCCCAACTTCTCACGGGGACGTACAGGTAACCAGGGATTGACAAGGTCAAGGACCCTTGAAACTGCAAGAAAGCCCTGCACAGCTCCCTGATGTGTACATACCAAACACATAATACATACGATAAGTAGGTACAATTTATTAAACAATCATGCATATGTTTTGAAGTATAATTTAAGAGCTTTAAAGGCAAAATTAAAAAGATTTTTTTAAAATTCCATTTCTATGGGGCTTTCTTTTCTGCCCAGAAGGAATTCTTCACCAGAAAGCTAAGAAACCTTGACTTACTAACAAAAATTCACTTACTGACAAAAATATAACTAATTTTTTTTTTTTTGAGGCAGGGTCTTGCTATGTAGTACAAGCTGGCCTTGAACTCACTTATGTAGCTCAGGTTGGCACTGAACTCAGGGTGATCCTCCTGCCTCAGCCTCCTGAGTGCTGGGATTACAGGTGTGTGCCACCACACTTGGCTATAACCAATTACAGTGAAGACCAATAAATATCATATTACTGAGTGGTTTAACAAATTGTGAATAAAGGTTGTGGTAGCACATAACTATAATCCTAGCACTTGAGAGGCTGAGGCAGGAAGACTGCTGTGAGTTTGAGGCTAGCCTGGGTTACATAGTAAGTTTAAAGCCAGCCTGAGATACACAGTGGGACCCAGTCTCAAAAAAAAACAAACAACAAACAAACCAAGAACAAAACTGTGTATAATATAATATGTAAGATAGTTTAATAGCATGGTATGGTGGCTCATGTGTGTAATCTCAGCACTCAGGAAGCTGAGGCAGGAGGATCGATGTGAGTTTGAGGTGAGTCTGGGTTACACAGTGAGTTCAAAACACCTGAACTACATAGCAAGACACTGTCTCAAAAAAGTAAAAAGAAAAAAGTTTAATAAAGAAGACCTTACTTACATGATTAGGAATATCCAAATTGCTACTAGGAAAATGGACACAGTTTCTGCACATTTTATTCACTAAGTCTTCACGAAAGACAATAATTTCTTGTGTACAGTACTGAATTCTGAAATGAAAATGGAAGCTGACATGACTTCCTCAGAAAAAGCACAGAATAAAAGAAAAGAAGTGGGGAGAGGAGGAGTGCAGCTCCTGAGCACTGCCTGGCTTGTGCAAGGTCCTGCATTCAATCCCTCGCACCGTGAAAGAAACGAACCAGATAATTTTAAAGGCCAATATCTTATAATACAAAGCCACCTGCAACTCTACCATTCACAGCAAAAACTCAACCAGTCTATTTATCCAGTTATTTACTGAGCTACTAGTAAGTGCGGGGTGCGACAGCAGGATGAGTGAACAGAAGAAAAAGATCCTAGCCCTGATGCAGTGTACAGTTTAATGGGACAATAGAGAAAATAAACAACAAACATGCTAATTACATGGTACGGCAGAAGAGGACTAAGTGTAAGGGAAAGAGAAAAGGCCATCGGAAGGCAGGGCCTACGTTACGGCTTGTGTCTAGATGTCCCCAAGGTCTCATGCAGGTGTAGGTAAGGCTCTTTCAGAAGTGGCCGGATCTAGAGTGTGTGACTGACTTGTGGTGCAGTGGTAGGGTTAAGGGTGCCGGGCTTCCGGGTGTGTGGTTACTAAATGGGTCAACAGAAGGTTTGACACCGCCCTAATCTCCCCGTAGCCTAGATGAGAGTATAACAGGGGCAGAAAGAGGCTGTTCAGGCCCTTGCTGCTTTGCTACAGTCTGCCTGCTGTGAAGTGTATCTCCTCTGCAACGCCCCTCTGCCAAGCCACCCTGCCTTGCAGCCAGCCAACTATGGCCTGCAACCTCTACAGACTGAGCTAAATAACCCCTTCAACTTTGGGTGTCGGGTCCTTTGTCTCAGCAATGAGAAAAGTAACTTAAAAAAAAAAAAAGACAGAGAAAAGTAGTAAGTATAACACAAGATTCTAATATTTACCTGCAGGGGTTAGTAGTAAAGACGGAAAATGGTACCCTTTGTCGGAATTCACTGGTGATGCTTTCAGCAAGAGGCGGCCTGTAAAAGCAATTTGTGTGCTGTGATATGGATTTTCAAATTGCACAGAATGTTCTTGAGGTTCACAAAAATATGAATGAAAGTTACCTTGGTAAGATGGAACCGAATCCAGGATCCTCTGGACCAGGTACAAATACAAAACGACTACTGCAGTGAAATTCAACATAATTCATTGAAAAAAATGATACATGGTAACACTATTCAGTATTCTAAAAACAGGTCACTCCCTGTAGCTGAATAATGAGTTTTAAAATACTTCTAAATTTTATGCCTTTCAGTAAACTGCTGAAAGTCTCCACTAGTGAAAGGATGGGAACGTTCTGTATTTGTATTGTCCAGGTATTGAGGGCTTAAACTATGGCCAGTGTGGTGGATAGACTGAATTTCAAATTTTATTAAACTTTAATTAATTTAACTCTAAAGAGACACATGTGTCTATATAACTATCACATAGAAGGATAGAGCTCTGGACAAATAATGTCACCAAAAATACGGTCACAATTATCAGTGTCCCCTTTAATACTTTCCACAATCAATCTATAGACTAGTGTAACATATATGGTATTCTGGTGTGAGTATATTTTTATCTCTTTGCCCTTTTAATTTTCTCAACTTTCTTTTTTCTATTAGTTTCTTAAAAATTAATGATACAAGTCTTAGGATTCATTTTTGGTTTTCAAAAATAAAACTATTTGAAAAAATGTAGCAGTAGAGAGCATTACCTTTGGTGAATATTTGGATATTCACATATTATGTCTGCCAAAGTTTTTAGGGAATCTAAAATTTTAAAAAGATATTACATTTAATTTGCATATAATGTACACAAAATCAATTATATTTGATTAAACACAACCCTACATCTTTTGAATGAGATTAAAATATTATAGTTTCTTATCAATTTAGTTTGTATTTATACAGAAACACTCTTAAACAGAGCCTCAAACTGGATGTGGTGGTACACGTCTGTAAGGCCACCACTCAAGAGAGCTGAGGCAGGAAGATCTTTATGAGTTCAAGGCTAGCCTGAGCTGCAAAATGAGTTCAAGGCCAGCCTGAACTACACAGTGAGACTCTATCTCAAAAAAGCAATGAAAGGCTGGGTGTGGTGGCGCACCCCTGTAATCCCAGCACTCGGGAGGCTGAGGCAGGAGGATCGCTGTGAGTTCAAGCAGCCTGG